GCTGTGGAAGGTGGATAACTGGGAGGAAAGTAAAAAGAGAGAGCAACACCACGATTTCTCTTTTAGCCTTCAAAAGCAAACCTGTGGTGAAGCCTGGTAGGGCACTGTGGGTTAATCATCGGGCTGATTGCAGGTTGCAGTTCAAACCCATCAGCTTCTAGGCAAAGGTGAGGCTGTCAGCTCCTATGAAGATTTCGAGTCTCAGAAACCCTGGGTGGGGTTGCCATGAATGGGAACCAGCTTAATGGTAGTGGGTTTGGTTTGGGGTTGTTGTTCAGACCTAGGCCCCAACATTGCCTTTTAGCTACTAAAACCTGGCACAATGTACTAGACTTCCTTCTTTAACCTTTATGAGCCTCAGGGACTCTGTGTGATCAGTGGCCTCCCACTGAGCTCCCATTTTCTGGGAAAGAGTTAGAGGTTGTCTGTGACCATTGTCTACCTCAGTGTCCATGTGATTCGCGTCTTCTCAGGACCCATTTGGGTTGAGACTATGAGGGGAAGAGTGAGTTACTTTCCTGCCTCAGTGTCTGCATCAACAGGAAATGGTGACTGAATGCTAGTGAGGCCTTTCAGAGGATTCAGAGTGCCGTGCGGCGATAGGATTCCTCCCTCGAAACACAAGGTAGGACCTGTGAGGGCCAAACATGGATCCTGGGTTTAAAGAAGGGCCAACTCCCTGGAGAGTGGGTGCTGGTGGTGGGAGAAGGGTTTGTTGAATAATGAGGTAGGGCTGAACTGGTCCAGCAGGAAAGACTTACACGTGCAGGGAGAGGCCCTCACTCAGGCTGGCGAGCTAGTATGGCTTGCATGAAAACTGTGAGGGGTATGGGGCTCTTGAGGGGTGAGTCACATTAAAGAGGATTTTGCCTGTAAGGCCAAGGAGTTTGGCCTTAATCCAGTTGACAATGGGTAGCCATTAGTCTTTTGTCTTCCAAGGAATCCTTTGTCTCAAATTCATAGAAACAATTTTGTATCTGATATATGTGATTTCATAGTTTCTCAGAGCAGAACATTTTCTTGCTTTTCAGAGTTCACAAAGCAAATAAAATAAAAGCAAGACATAGCTTTCCACATTGGATAATTGCTTTTGCAGTCCTAAGGGGCGTGTGCATTTGCGCGCGCGAGATAGAATTTAGTCTTTTATAAAACAATTCCACTTGTTACAACATAAAGCCAGACTCAGCTGATTTACATCAACATCTTGGGTGAGGAATCCATATGGTTTCCATTTGCTCCCAATTGGAAACAGCCAAACTATTTGTCTGCGCTCCTCTTTATGGAAGGGAAATTTTTGGCCTGATTCTTGGAAAGTTGTTCCCCCCAATACTGTTCAACTCAAAACCTCCAAGCAGAAGTTGGATGCCTGTAATTACTCCTCTCCAAATGCTTAAGTATAAGAACTTAACAACTTTATATTTATAAATCAATTATAAGTGAGAGAAGCAAAATATTCCATTCCTCTGCTTGTAGGCGTTTGTTCAAGTCAATCCTGTCTCAGAATGACCACAGAATATGAAGAGTCAGTACATCAGTGGTGCTCAAACTTGAGCAGCATTAGGATCAGTGAGATAAGTTGTTGAAACAGAGATTGCTAGGCTACAACCCTCAAGGTTCTGACTTAGCAGACCTGAGGCTTAAAATCAGGAAAGGTGTTGCTTCATGCTGTATTCTCTCACCATACTTATTCATTCTGTACGCTGAGCAAATCATCAGAGAGAAGCTGGCTTATACGAAGAAGAGTGCAGTGTCGGGATTGGAGGAAGGCTTCTTAACAACCCGAGGAAGGCTTATGACACAACCTTGCTTGCTGAAAGTGAGGAGGACTTGAATGAAGATGAAAGATTGCAGCCTTCACTATGGATTACAACTCAGTGTCAATACGATCAACATCCTGACAACCGGACCAACAGGTAACATGATACTTAGAGAGGAGATGGAAGTTGCCAAGGATTTTGTCTGACTTGGATCCACAATCAATGCTTCTGGAAGCAGCAGCCAAGAGATCAAATGATGCACTGCACTGGGGTTAATATGCTGAACAAGACCTCTTTAAGGTGTTGAAAAGCAAGGATATTACTACTTTGAAGACCGAGGTGTGCCTGACCTAAGTCAAGGTATTTTCACTCACCTCACATGCATGTGAAAATTGGACATTGTAAAGGGAAGTCTGAAGAAGAATTGATGCATTTGAATTATAGGGCTGGCAAAGAATGTTGAAAGTACCATGGACTGACAAAAAGACAAACAAATGTGTCTTGGAA